AATTCAAGATAATTCCAACCAAGATGTAAAAAAGTCAGCGAGGTATTTTTGCAAAGTGCATCTGCTAATGCTTTTCCACCTTCTGTTCTAAGATTATTACGATAGAGGTTCAAATAAGTCAGCGTGGAGTTCTTACAAAGCGCATCAGCTAATGCTTTTCCTCCCTCCAATCCAATATTATTATACCAGAGATTCAAAGAAGTTAACGTGGTGTTCTTGCAAAGTGCGTCTGCTAATGCTTTTCCTTCTTTTGGTCCAAGACTATTAAAATTAAGACTTAAACAAGTCAGCGTAGTGTTTTTGCAAAGTGCCTTTATTAACTCGGTTATTATTTCTGATCCACACTTGTTACTAAGATTCCAAGATGAAGCACTTTTTTTGTCTTCATTATTCTGGCTGTTCTTGAGAATTTCTTCGTAAAGTTCTAATGTTTTGAAAATTTTACCTTGCTTAAAACATGCACGTGCTTCTTTCCTCATATCCTCAATACTAATATCTTGTGTTGAAATATTTGAATTTATTGTATCAGACAAATGAAGTAGAGATGAAGTCGTAATATCGAGTGAATTTCCAGGTTCTGTTGTATTATCTTGATTACTTGAAGAAGTATAGCTATTTTGAGTTGACGCTTCAATGGGACTAAAATCCTGCATTAGTGTGTTTGAATTTGTCGTATCAGATAAACAATGTAGAGATGAGGTCATAATATCGAGTGAATTTACGGGTGCGGTTGTATGAACTTGATTATTTGAGGAAGTATCGCTATTTTGATATAATGTTCTAATGGGATTAAAATCTTGCGCTGAAATATTTGAATTGGTTGTATCGAGCAAATAAAGTAGAGATGAAGTCGTAATATCAAATGAATTTACAAGTGAAGTTGTATTATCTTGGTGATTTGAGGGTATAACATTATTTTGAGTTAACGCTCCAATGAGATGGCATTGATTCAAAGCCTCATTAGGATCAAGTTGTTTCAAAGTATCGAGAATTAATTTTGCTTCTGGACGATTAGCAGGATTATTGTCCCAACATTGTTTATAAAGTTCAATATATTGAGGTGGTGCATCTTTCATCGGTTCTTCTCTCTTCCCTTGGAAAATATTAACAACAATCATTTCATTTGTTAGGTGTTGAAATGGTGGCTTTCCACTCGAAATTTCCCAAAGAATTATTCCAACGCTATAAATATCCGATCTCTTATCTTGCTTATATCCTTGCTTAAAGAGGCACTGAGGTTCGACGTATGCCGCCATACCACGAACAATCGAGTTTGAAGTCATAGATGTCTCATTTATCTGTTTTGACAATCCAAAATCTGCAATCTTTGGTTGCCTTTGATGAATTAAAATATTCTTCGAATGCTATTAAATACGTCAGAAAATTAGTTACAATGCAGCATCTTAAACTCGCAAATAAAACAATATACTTACAAGATCTCGATGAATAATATTGTTATTATGTAAGAACAAAACACCACGCAATATTTCCTTGGCAATTTGTAATTTGTCTGTCCATTGTAACATAAAATTCGCTTTCAAATATTCTCGCAAATTTCCATTATTAGCATATTGTAAAACCATATTGTAATATCCATTATTGTCTATTTATCGCAATTAATACCTAAATTAAATATTTATTATTTCATATTTGGGAATAATGAATTGTATATATACCTTTTGTGACTCCATAGAATCTAATAATATTTGGATGACAATCAACTCTTCGTAATAATTTGTATTATTTATTTCCCCCCCCAGGAAATAAATAGGTAATCCCCAGGAGCGTGTCACTAGATGTTAATCGAACTGCCTTTACCATTACTTTTATACGTGAATCCATATTTATATTCGTATTGTGCTTTTGTACATTTTTTTTCTTTATCTATTTTATTTTTTTCGTTTTTGATTATACGTCATAATTTAATTACGTAATAAACTATATTTATATAATCAGAATTTTAATTGCGCTTAACTTTTTTAAACCTTTTCACTTTCGCTTTGCCTTTATTGTACCATTTTAAATAAAAAATGACCCAACCTAATAAGCAGTTCGTTCATCAACTAGAGAAGAAATTATTGAAGCCCAACAAGCATCACGAAATATAAATACTAACAAGTCTTCAAATCAATAGATGGCTTTATTTATCAAGTTTCATCAATTACACAAATATACTAATGAAATTATCGATCTTGATAATAAAACATTATCAGATCAACTTGAACAATTTTTAGTTGCAGTTCGTAAATCAAATGGACAGGAATATAAGGCTTCATCACTTTATACTGGATTTTGTGTTATTGCACGGGGTATATCAGAAGTATTTGAAGAAGTACAAGTTGTAAACATACTTGACAAACACCAGTTTAAAAGTTTACATCGAACATTGGATGGCCGTATGAAAGCAATTGTTGAAAAAGGAAATAAAAATTGTAAACAATCAGATCCATTGGATACGGAAGAAATTAAGTTTATACTTGACTCACCTGCAACAGCAACTGATACTCCTAAAGGTCTTTTACGAAGAGTTTGGATTTGGTTGTCTCTACTATGTTGTTTAAGGGGTGGTGATGCTAAACGATTAAAAGCTTCCTGGCCTAAAGAATTAGACAATGGGGGAATGCGACTAGAATTACCTAATGAAAAAAATCATGCTGGAGAAATTAAAGATCCATATTCTGAGGCTGGAATCAGTTTTATACCACCAGATACTGTAGGAAATAAATATACACCAGTGGCAGATATTAAAAAATATTTGTCAAAACGTCCAAATGATGTTGAAGACGATTATTTTTTGTTACAACTAATACACCAAAAAAAATTTATCGAGGTGAATGGTATTTACCAAATAAGCTAGAAAAAGGATCTCACGACACAATGATGCATGCAATATGCAAAGACGCCAAACTTGACTTTAAAGGTCGTAATATTACTAATCATTCAATATGATCGACAGGTATTCATAGTCTTGTCGAATCTGGTGTGACACTTGATGAAAAGATGATTTTTTCACGGCATAAAACTATTGCAGGAGTGTCTGCTTATCAATATCAATCTATAAAACGCAAGTTGGATAATGTTTCTCAGCTAATTCCTGTCGAAGAAGCGGGTAAAATATTATTTATATAATTTATTATTCAAGTATTATTTATTTACAATTAATATATTTATTCTTTATTTATAAATCAGATGCTTATTCAGTATTGAAAGATTCAACATCGACATATAATAATCAACCTGGTAAGATTGATATTAAAGTTTCCAACTTATTAACACTATAATTAATTGATTTTTTTTTAGGATTTTCAAAAGCATCTGACTTAATTTCAAGTACATCCGATCTACTTTCAACTGAGCTAAATAAAAAGGCCAAAATATCGAATAAGAAAGAATCAAATAACCAACAATCAAGCATTCCAAAAATTTCGTCAAAAATTGTAATAATATAAGTATTAACATTACGTTCAATACTGCATAATGGTTTTATAACCTGAAAATAGCGTTGTAATGTTAGTTAAAACTAAACATAAAAAAATATAAATTCGAATTTAACTAACATTTTAGTTAAAGCATTTAAATTTTTATTTAACGCATAACAATTATAAATATCTGGCTCACAATATAAACACATTTCGTAATTAAAATATCTGACCTTGCATGTAATAGTTTAAAGAAATATTCGATCGAATTGAAGGTCATTGTATAAAGCATAAAAAACTTTTTATTATAATCCCCGATTTAATTAAGAATTAAAGATAAATACCGATCAAATTAAATTTAATAGATTAGAGATTCCCGATGCTTAATATGAAGACCGGGAATCTTCCGTGGGAAGATTCCCGGTCACAATATGACCATTATAAATATGGATAATCACGTGTAAAAAATTATGCTGAAGGCAGTCATGAGTGACACTTAGTGCGACAGGGGATTAAAGCTTTTATTTCAGGTTATCGTTAATGAAATTTAGTATCACACCAGGAAATAATGAAGTAGTAATGTAATATATACCTCATTGACAAAATCTTTAATAATTTCTTCATTTAAACCTATATCGGCTTCGATTTTAAGACACTTAAGAGCAACCGTTAAATCACAATCTTTCCACTCGTATTTAAAAACTTTCCAAATCCAATCATTGCGGGATCTGTGAATCTATCATATTCAAGGTTATTAATATGTCCCTCAATAATAGCCTTTTCAAGCCATTTTTCTGATGTGCCTTCCATGATCTTTGTATGCTGAAAAATAATAGATAATGTACGTACGTACGTACGTGCGTGTCCTTTATAATTACTGACTACGTGACACTTAATTACTGACTATGTGACACTGCTACTATCACTACGTGACTAGCGATGCAGGGGAATTATTTCTACAGTACCGGACAGCAAAACATCCAATACCATTTAAAAAGCATCAAATTTGTGAGTTATGCAATCAATTGCATGCCATCTGTCAGAGAATTTGTTATGTATATAGACCGTATATGCATTTAAGTTATAAGAACCATTTTGATATGAATAATTAAGAACCAAAATTTTTATGCATTTAGAGAGTATATGCAATTAGACTGTATGTAATTAGACAGCATCGACTGTATTGATTGATTAATTTGTATGTAATCAATTCTGACATTTAAACAATTATTTTTTATATATTGAACGCCAAATTAAAAGCAACTTATTGGTTTCTGAGTTATAATCATTGTTATATCTCACATATAAATAGTGAATTTTTTTGCTGTCTAGTACTGTTCATGTGTCCAATCGTTTAGTAATTCCAAATTGTAGAATTTATGATCTCCATTTCACAAGCATGCAATCGTAATATTGTGCAACTCCACACTTGTAGAATTATTGAATTGCCAATTATTAAAAGCATGGCATATGCAAAAGTTACGTCTTTGATATTCTGTAGTTCCGATCTTTGAAATTTGCAATTCAACTAGAATTTTTATAAAAGAAAAGGTCGACTATAACTAGAAAAACGGCGACGTTTTATGGGCTGGAGCCTAGCTATTAGGTCTTATACTTGGAATTGAATTTAAAATAGTACATTATTTAAATTTTATAAATTTACTTATAAGATTACATCTATACTAAATTTATAATAAAAGCAATTTTTTTATATTATTGTGTAAATGCATATTTGCCATAATATTTGTATTCTGTCAAAAAAAAAAACCATTAAAAAGAGCACACCTAGCATCGCCAACAAAAAAAATGTAGCTGATGTTATAAATTTATCATATGATAACTCGCATCGCATGAATTACCAGTCATAAGTTATTCTAGCGATAATACAAGTAATAATTTATTAAAATTTTAAAAAATAAATGAGTGAAAAAAAAAATCCAATTGGCGACTTGGAAAAGATCAAAAAAAGTTCAAGAAACTAAACACATCACCAGAATTTTAATTATGACGTAGGCTACATTTTTTGTGGGCGATGCTAGGTTTGCTCATTAAAAAGGATGTTAGCAAATGTGCAGATCCTTGGTACATCTACAAATATAATATCAGTTGCGAGTTCTTTATTCTAAGATTTATTGCAGTATCTAAACTTATAAATTGTAGTTGCCCAAGCGAAACTTAAAAGAAATTACATGCGAGAGCAAGTTCTTTATTTTTCTTTCCAAGTAAAAGATATTTAATAGATTGTATTTGTTATACTTGGTATGATCCGTATAATTATTTATTTTAATCAAAATTTCATGGATAATTAAGGTGGTATTTATTAGAAGTCAGTTATATATTCTATTAAAGTTAGTCTTATATTTTAACTCAAAATTCAGGTATCCAAACGTTGAACCTAACTTGGATTTGATTCGATTCTGGTCATTGAGCCTAAAATTTTGGTCAGAATGAAGCGAGAACCGGACTTTCCGAAAATTCAGCAGAGTAAGGCTTTTATGCTAATTGTGGAAAACTTATGAAGTCAGTATTGAAAAGCTTTCACTTCGTTCCCATCAGCTCCAGTAAATAACCGAAAAAAAAATTATAAGAAAATCAATATTATGCTTAAGACCTGCGATAGCATCTCAAAACTTATTGAGTATGCAGTGATATTTGGTTTTTAAAATAATTTATTACATCGTAAATTTAATTATTTCATTCGAAATTTGATTTAAATATAGTATTTTTTATTTAGGCTACCTTCATTTGTTTGTTCGTCTTGATTTATGTTCTCTTTCGCTTTAATATTATCGATATGAGATGTTAACTGACGTTTGCTGCGAGCCTATCTCTTTTCTGATTTACTTTTTCGGCCGTTCTTCAGTCATTAAACTTTTTTGTTTTCTTCAAATTTCATTTTTTATGGCTATTTGTTTGGGTATGAAGTTCTTTT